TAAACTTGGATGCACCAGGTCTCATATGAGTCTAAAACATTTTGAATATGAACTAAACCAATAGAAAGTAGGAAAAAAGTTATAAAAATACATAATTAACTACTGTATGAACTGTGAAATGCCGAAATGGTGCTGCGATCTCGTCAGAAAATAATATATGAACAAATACTTCCTGCGATATCCTTCTTTAGGTTATTGCAGTATTGAGAGTGTTTGACAGTGTTATGGATAAACTAAACAAATATAAGTCTAACTAAGGCTATTCCAGACCATCTCCTAATCTGGACCGATTGGAAGTGACCATAAATATGTGTTCTTCCTGGGAACATTATTGAGATACAGATCAGTTGGACTCAAACAGAGCAGTATGAAGTCGAAACGGCTTGTACATTGTGTCCTCAATGTTCTCCCATTTCCCATAACAGCAGCTATACCCTCACCTATGGGTTAATTCGCAAACACTACAAGGCCAATTGGCTATTTGCTAAAAGTGATATTGCCTTGTGGCTCTTTATTGCACTGAGAGATAGGCTGTTGTCAGTATTTCTTATAATTAAAGCAAGCAATCTGTAAAGGGCAGGTCAAAAGCAACTATGTTTCTGTACAAATATACTTTTGACCTCATTGTGATTTAAGTTTATGAATTAATTTCAAGAGCAGTCCATTGATAACGCTGATTTAACGCAATAGTAAGACAAAGATTCAGTAAACTAATTTCATGGCTTTCGAGGAGTGCCATTTTAAAATATATGGTCACACTGTACCAGCCATTGACACCCGAAACATATATACCACTTTGACCGACATGGTTGTCCCACTGCCCAGTGAAGCAAAGAGAAAGTTTGGCACATTGTTTTCTTTCTGTCCTTGTATCTTTCAGGAGGCCAGTGGAACTTTCAAAGGATGTTTTTGCAGAAACAACTGTTGGTGGATGGCAGCTTCTTATTATGAGCTGCGCAGTCTACAATTTATACAGTGTGAGTGTGTGTGTGTGTGTGTATGTGTGTGTGCGCGCGCGCTGGGCAGGGCTGATAATCCAAAGTGGAGCAGGTGAGGATCCATCACTGTCAAAAGCTCTCAATGGCAGAATGAGATAGCAGCGTCTGCTCGTTTTTCTGAGCCAGAGGCGAGCCACGACACAGGGCTCCATCTCTTATCTCTAAGGGCTTTTGATTAAGTATCATCAAGTATTAAATGCTGACTTTTAAAGCTGACATTTTGTCCCATAACATTTCCAAATCAACCTATAGGGCTTTGTTGTACAGCAGCAACAATGGGATGAAATATTTGTCATTCTTTCAACAATGTTCTTTTTACCCCCTTTATTTATTCATTTTCATTTAACAGCATGGAACCTGCAACCATTCAAAATAGACTGGTTGGTTTTCCAGTCCAAAACAATTATATATGTATAAAAAAACTGGGACTAATTACTTGCAAATATAAATATTCTCATTGCTATTATATAATAGAAATTGTTTTACTGATGGTGCAATTCTTTCCTGATTAGGCCAGAGCTGAGATGATATTATCATGTTGAATGCATGAGTGGTCACCCACTGGTTCAGAAAAAGACAGTCATGTAATGTTACCCAAAAGCTTAAGGCGACTAAAGTGTCTGGTTCGACCAATGTAACAGCAATGCCCATTCCAATTAAATAAATATATTATGACTACGATAATCAGTTTCTCTGTAGGGTGTAAGTGCTCCACGGTCCAGTGTGAATTCAGTCCACACAACCTTTGTGGTGCAGGGGTGTGTTCTCATTAACTGACTTAATTTTTGTATTCATTACGGAAGTGCTATCCGTGTCCATGTAGTGCATTGGGATATACGTCCTTATGAAGAAAAAGTAGCGCAGATTTGTGCTGGCGTGACATATTTTAGATCGAGTTTTAATGAAACAAGGAAGAGATGTGTTTCGGGTCGCAGATTGTGACCAATCACAGCGCACCACTAGCCGCCACTTTTGTGAGAAATCTACAGGTCCGTTAGCATAGACAGCTGAGTTAGCACAACAAGCGGCGGAGCTAACCTGAAGCTTTGTGTGTCTTCGTCACCGGTTAGTGCGTACACAGCGAAACAGCCATCCAAAAGAAAGTCCCGTTCCTCCGCGCTTCCCGGTTCTATCGTTCTATGGTCACGCCATCTACGTGCAAATCCATGTCCATGTATTTATCCATATTGGGAGACGCTAGCTCCGTCCCAACAGTGGGTGTGTGTGGGGGGCGATAGCTTCGTGGGTGCGGGGAGGGGAGCAGAAAGAGAGAGGCCAGCGGGTCCGCGGCTTCAAAATCCCAAAGTCAGTCAGTGCAGCTTTAAGCTAATTTGTTGACCATAAACATTAACAGGAACAACATATTAATACAGGAAACTATTGACTAAATTAGTTGGTTGCATGTTGATATGTTTATGGATATAATTGCATAACCATTATTATTCAATGAAAATACTCACAATTATTGAATCCTAGTTTGCATTTAACTTTATAGATTGGTAGCTCTGGTGGGAAATAATGTTTGCAACAATATAATAAATCTTCTATGGACGATATGCCAAAATTGCTTGCAAAATCAGTTTAAAGTATAAATCAAACAAATATGTGTGAAAAAAGAAAGCACAGAAACTGTCCATCCTTTTTGTTCCGCTTCATCCGTTGCCAAGTTGAAAAGGCAGTGGTCTGAGCAGGGACCAAAACTGCCAGCTGTATGTAGTACTTACTAACACATTTTAGCCCATTTATGTTTTATTGGGAATACTATAAGTAAGTAATATTTATTTATCGCCTTTCATAGACCAGAGTGACAAAGCGGTTTACAATTGTGGGCATTTGTCCTTTCACTCCACACAGAGAGCAGGGTCGCCAGAACAGGAGGCAAATGCCAGACCTATTGTACATGTTTTTAGTGGTAGGGGAAACTGGAGTATCCGGTGGAAACCTACGCAAACACGGGCAGAACATGCAAACCCCAGGCCCTGTTCCGACCAAGATTCGAACCCAGGACCATTATAAATTAAATATGCAGATGGAAAAATAAAACAATAAGACAAGCATAAGCTACTGCTTGCCTCATACATGCCTGTTGTTCTGTTTCTTCTTGTAAAAAGGCTTCCAGGAGGTTTTGGATCCATATTGCCTATTAGCTTGAATCCAGCTACACTTGGATAGCCAGATCTATATTTTACTTTCTTAGACCATATCCACCATGCTGCAATCCGCCAAGATATGCTGAGTGCCATTCCAATTCCAATGGGAGCTGCCATGGTAAGAAATGTCCCAGCCTCAGTAATGTGAAGCTCTTAGGACATAAAAGCAAGAGACTGGATTGCATTGGCTATCAGGGGCAGATGGAACCACTGAACAATGTTCAAAATGCTGTCAGTAGAAAGGGAAAAGCGTTAAGTGGACTCTGTGCCTTTTTGGGTATAGTGTCCCAAGTCTATCCATCCTAAAGGAGGCGCTAATGTGTCATGTCTGATCAAACTGGACACAATGACATCTCCTATTGCACATGTTTTTTGTGAGATCCATAGATAGGTTCATTGCAATGTGATAACTAGAGCTGCAAATGGACCTTTAAAGGATATTTAAATTCTTCCTCTGTATTGTCAACATTCCAGGGAAGAAGTAACAACTCTATTGACCATCACCACCAGAAATATTGTATTCAGAAATAATCTTTCCAACACAATCTGAAATGTAATTGCCATAAATCGTAACAACTAAACTATAATGTGTCAACCCAAATGCAACATTGTGTGAAAGACGTCCTGAAATCTTTGTTCTTTTCCGTCACTCCCTCAATTCTTGAGCAGATTTACCACACTGCATGGAGCTGGGATATAATTACACTCGATTGTCTGATATTTCTGCTGCATTACACGGCCCTGAAACGGTCCAGGAGTCACGCTGCCTCTCAGAGAAAACCATTCCGCCGGATCAATATTTATTATTGTATGATTTGTCAGCATCTACACTCCCGCACACTGCATGACATCCTCCATATAGCTCTACTGATGTATGTAAGCTGTTTTTTTAGTGGAGATAGTCATTATATATTACATGAACAATTTGACGCTAGCTACATGAAGTTTTATTACCGCCATGCAGACATAAAGTGCTAGCACAAATGATGGCCACATTCACTTGGATCAAAGTAAAGTGACCTGCTGTGAATCCAATTATGTAAAGACTTGAACAAAATGAGATTTGTGTGTCTTGTGGACATGACTGCAGCGGAGGTAGAAAAATACAGATATGAATTGATTCTTGAAGCCGTTTGGTCTGATCTTTATGCGTCATGTGATTATAATCCTTTGCATCTATCGGTAACAGAGGCATTGGAGGGCAGACATCGAAATAACTAGGGGCGTACAATATGAGAGAGAAAAAAGAGAGGCACTGCAATCAGAATTTTGAATTTGAAACATTTAGCTCTATGGTATGTGCTTTCTACAGTATGTGCCCTCATTAACCATCAAAACGATTACTGAAGTTAAAGGTTCAAGAGCAGGGCTTTGGCTCCACATTCTCCTCCTCTCCAGCCAACCACACCTCATCTTCAGGTTCGCTCCTCCATTACCAAGAATGCCTTATTTTCTACCTTTCCCCATATCACAGTCTGTCTCAGCCATGGATCTATTTGGTCTCAGCACATTCCGAGTCTCACCAAACCACCATAAAGCATATTGAGTATATTTTAAGATATGTTGCAATTTGTTGACATTATACAAATCAACAACATTTGGATATAAAACCGGGAAGGCAACTTGTAGCTCTGGCCTTGAAAGAAGCCTCTTTGAAATGCTAATATTTACAACAGAGTTTGGTCAACATGTTTCTGTTATTGGTAAATTATAGGCAAATACAGTACATTTGCCAATATGATATTTCTATGTGTTTTAAATACTTTAAATAAATTAAGTACATTATTTTTCAACAAAATTTAACTCGGTGGCAGCAGAGTACAAAAGCCCAAGCAAAACAAAGAATCTATACCTGCTGTGGCTCCCGGGGCGTGGTCTGCTTGACTCTGTGGTTGGATGCAGTTGTCGTGGTGATCTCCATGATGGATGTGGAGGTCTCTGAGCGGTTGGCCGTGGTGCTGGATTGAGGAGTGATGGAGGAGGGCGACTCTCCAACTAGCCGCACGCTGCCCTGGATCTTGATATTGGGGTCCCCTTCAGCTGCCATGTTGAAGACTTTGAGGCCGTTGTAATAGAGCCCCGAGAGCTGCCCCTGGAACGATCTGCTGCGGTCTCGTTCCCAGCCTCCGATCTGAATAGTGGTTTGACTGTTGAAGATGGTAAGCTGCCGCCCTGGAGGAAAACAATGTTACATATACACAAAAAGCATTGAGAAAGTGGACTCAGCCACTTCTAGTCAACAGAACAAAAAGACAGATTATTTGCCCAGTGGTTAATGAGTGCAATAAATTACAGGTTGTAGAGGCTGTTCCTGGTAATTTATTGTCATTATTGTGATGGAAAGCTTTAGAAGTATCAACAAAAACAAAATCAGGATAATGCAGGTTTGCTAAAAGGGGAAAGTGCAAAAAAAGGCAATAGAACAAACAACATAAACGGGGGCTTACTGCAACAAATAAATAAGAACAAGCGACCATTAAAGCAATTGTACATTTGTGAAAACAAGACAAGAAATTTGAGACTCATTGTCAAGATACAATGGCACTCACAGATCAACAAAGAGAAGCATGCAAACAGAGGTAGGGTTTAAGCAAGGCACAGCAACATTTTATCCATTGAAACAAAATCAACCAATGGACCTAAATGAGGAATGGTTGGGCACATGAGAAATGAGAGCTCCTTTTCAAAAACAAAACACAAATCGGAAGAGGGCTCCCATTTGAGTGAAAAATATGGCCCATTATTATTCAAACAAAGCATGCATTCAGTTAGGTTTAAGACTTTGCTCTAGTCCTGCACATATTTACATCATGTTAAAGGGACTGAAGCCAATTCATATTGTGCTTATTTATATCTATTTAAGCAAACAGACACTTCTACATGTGTGAAACTACAGCTACTGAAAGACTATGTGAAACTTTTACATTTATCATTTAATGTTTATGTCAAAAGACTACTGCAATTTAACAATAATTTATCAAAAAGGTACACAAAAAGATTTATTCATATTATTACAGTCCCTTTAACTTTAAATATTTAACAGCTACAATTATCAAATCAATACATTATATCTACATTTAAAACATTTATCTTTACATCATTTTGATTTTACGTTTAACTGTACATTTATTTTATTTTATTTTTATTTACAAAATAATGCTATAACTAGTTTATCTTCAAATTAATTTTATCAAAATTTTAATTAATGATTTTACCTTTGTCGAGTAGCCATTCGTCAACTACTCGACCAAGTCGATATGGGATTCGCTGTCTAGCAATCGCCAGGCGTTCGTTATCATTGTTGCCTTTAAAGTTTAAAGAGACATTTCTTGGTTACAATCTGTAAGGTCAAAAGTTCAAGGTTATGCTACACAACTCCACATACTTTTATTATCGTTTATCTATTTATAAACAAAATTAACTAAAACATTATTTTACCAAACCTTTATTTTATTTTATTACACAAATTATGTCTATATTAATTGACAGTATCTAGACTAAAACCTTTCTTCTAAGTTAATGCTGCAGTTATCAACAAACATGATTACATTAAATGTCACCAATTGTCCCATTTATGTCCACCCCGTTTGTTTTACACTGGTTTTTAAAACTGTTTATCTTATTCTAAACTTTACACTTCATTTAAATATATTATTTTATGCTTTTAATAATTTAACAGTTTATCTTGTTACAAATGCCCACCCCATTTTAACAACCTACATGACAGGAGATACACACTAGTTTCCATAAAACAGTAGAACACAGTATACATTCACATTAAGAGAAAAGACAGGCTCAAAGTGCATCCAATCACTGAAAATCATTCGGGTGGCATTGACCAAAGCTGTTTGAGGAAAAAAGGTCACATTTCATCAACATGGAATGGCTGAATGTCTTGCACATTGAAGTTTGCATTTGTATTCATATTTCATTGCTTGGATTATATTTTGTGGGATAAAACCATTTGCAAACACAAAAGATAGTTTTGCAATCAGGAAGCAGTGTGTGAGTAATAAACCAGTTACAACCATGAAGTTCTGGGGAGATTCAGAATTCCATTAAACTGTGGGGTCAATCTAAATATATAACACATTTCTGACATTTTTAAATGGTAAAAACACATCGGTCTATTTTGTATGAAATGAATAGAATAGTATGCGTTACTTTACAGCTGCTGTAAAGTAACTGTCTTGTGTAAAGCATGGCACCCTTTATCTGATGTCATCTTTATATAATATCGTAGCAAAATGTACAATTGTAAAGACTGCATTGATGTCTGTGGAATCTATAACAAACCGATAGATGCACGTTCGTAGTCGAAGCTGTCATACACTTTAATGGAGCCTCCACAGAATACCTACTTCAGGGTAAAGTGTTCCTCCTCTGCCATTGTCTGCACAGATTGAATTCAGTCCGTCTATTCTTCCGGCAGATTGACAATGTTTGTTCCATCAACTATTAATTCACTTGGGTCCGATAAAGGATCCGCTCGCTAACCAGAATTTAGAGGTGAATAGCTTCCATAAAAGGAAAAGTCCGAGGCCTGCGACGCATGCAGAGCCGGCTTGATGTAATAACCTTAGACATAGCATAATAGGACCTTTAATAGAATAGATGAACAGAAGTGATATGATATGGTGTGGATGAATGGAATGCAGTCACTTGAGCATAAAAAAGGTCTTGGTAGATACAGTTATGCACAAAATTAATATCTTTCGTCAATATGTATATAATATATTCTTTGAATTTAAGTGATCCTTTCAAAATATAAACTAAATGATCTGTTTGACACAATATGGATGTTCTGACAGATGTTTTCTGTTTTGCTGCTGGAAGACACTAAACCATACGAAAAATGTAAGCGATTGTTCTATCCTTTATTATAACAACACACAGACTTAATTCATCTAGAACTGTATTTGTGAAACTTTTAATTCATGTGAATAAGCTTCTGTCACTTATCAAAAACTTTTCTGCACTTTTATAATCTATATCTATATTGGTTGTGTTTATATATATACACATTTAAAATTAGATTGAAATAAGATTTGTTTTAACGCATGCCTTAAACTGTATCTGTTGTCTTTTGTATAACTTGTTTGCACCAACTGAATGCACCTCCCAATGATTCCAGTCGAATCCTTTTACCAATTAGTGGCTGAAAATATACAAACAGTAATAGTTTTATTTTATTTGCCTCAATACCAAGCGTTACAGTCAGGGAGAAATGCTTGTTAAATCATTTTGTGTGACTGTGAACCCTTTGGAGAGGTCATAGCCAAACTAGGCCCCAGGGAGCAGTTAGCCCCCAGCTGTTTGTAGGACAGTAAGGACAGTCAGGAGAAATGTTACCAGGGTTTTGAAAATAATGTCTGTGAAAACATTTCAAGTGTTACTAGAATTGTAACTTTACACTTTATAAAAAATAAAAAAAAACCTTAACATTGAAAAGTTTTGATTGGAAAGTATTTCTCTATGGATTCCAAATACTCCCTTTATTGCATTTTATATTGAGTAAGTCATTTTATTTGCCAATTTGCTGTAAGTATATGAAGTATATGACAAAGACAAAAACAAGAAAATCCTTGTTTAAACAGCAGGCAAACATCTTAAAACTAGTTTGTACAATGTAGCTCTTGTCTTATTTAAACCAGTTCCATTTTATTTGAGACTAATTTCTTGTGTAGTGTTTCTTCCGGGAGTGATCCAGCACAGTTTGAAAAGTAGACATCTGGACCAGGTTTTCATCTGATCAAATGATAAAAATTAATTCTGGGACGTGCTCGAAACTTTTCTGAAAAATGTGAATTCTTAGCACACTTATTTTTTTTTCCTTTTGGTTATTGGCTTTCTGTCCTCTTCATTGGTTTACAATTTCTGCTGTCAATACACAAGTGGCATCCAAGTCCCAAGTCTCTGTGTGCCTGTCTCATCCTCTCCTTTACAGTCAGGTTAATTAGAAGGGGATATAATCAAGCCTTGATCGTGTATTGATCTCTTCTATGGGACAGTGGAGTGCTCAACAATAGCCTCCCATGGGCCTCCACATCTCGCCCCATTCATTCTGAGTGCGAGAGGCTCTTACGACTGCTGCCGGTAGTTGATTGGTTTCCTTTATGGAGCTGGGGGCGGGCCGAAGTCTTATCTCCTCTTCCAGACAGCGGCCATTCAGACGGACTGTCCCAACCCGACCCGCTCTGCCCTTGCTCGCTTGTTTCCTTTTTGTTAATAAAGTGCTCAGATAAGGTAGGGAGCTTTATCTCATTACAAGCCCTTGGACACCCGCCACAATGAATCCACAAATATGCAAATGTTTCTGGTGTTTTGGAGAGCTAGGAGATTTGGGAGGTGGATCCTAAACAAATAAGGCTATTATTTTTTATTAATCAGTCCCTCTTCCCCTGGTTTGGTTTCCATAGAGACACATTTTTAAAGCATACTCAGTAATGGCCACTGTGCACAATAGAATGAATAGAATGCTAAAACAGAGACAAAAAACGGATCAGTTAGAGCTGTTATGGATAAACCAAGCTCTATATGGAGACATTGTAGGTACGGTCAACACTGCAAACAGGTCAAAGTGGGCGATATGGGGATATAGGGCAGGAGAGCGACAGGCACCATCTAGGCTAAGTGCACTATGTTCTCATAATGGTAAAAAATAAGGCCAGGGACATCTCCATTATCTGTGTGTGCTCATGTTCTGCAGTGCTATAGTGTGCTGTAGCCTGCAGGTCTGGCAGCGCTATTGTGGTGGCATTACTTCAATGGCACAGGCTCAAGGAAACGGATGGATTCTTTTTTTTTTTCGTTGCCTTTTGCAGTGGAAAACCAAAGAGGAATGAGGATAAAATAACAGGTTTAGCTATGAATATGGGCTTCATTTGGAAAGGTCAATGCTTGTGTATATTCTATCAGAACAGCTTACTATCAAGGACTGATTTCTGAATCTTGTTAGATGAGGATTATAAAACCATTATTAACGTGTATTTGGGTCATTGACAAACATTTTAAAAACAAGATACAGTTACATTGGTGGTGTTTAGGTACAAGTGTATCAGTGCAATATGAACTCGAAAATCGAGAAAAACATTGAAAATATATATAGATTTGTTTTGTCTTTAAAATTACATACAAAGACATTAGAGAAATACAGGACATGGCTTTTTGTCAGGAAAGGCAGGGTTGGAAAAGTTTGTACCAGTTTGATATTACCGAAGATGGAGCTAAAAACTACCAGTATTTTTTGCGGAGGGAACTTGTTTTTAAAAATAAATTATTGATTTTGCAAAAACAAATCCTTTAAGACAAATACACTACAGTACTTGTTTTGTGCTGTAGGAAAACCACTCAAATAATCTAATAATTGTTTTTACAGCAATTAATGCTACATGAGTATGTGTTGCACTATAATGAGAAAACAAAGGGAACGTTCTAGGCCCTGGCGAGGCAATTATTTCCTTGTTTTGAGAATAATGACCCTTTCCCTCCCATATAATTTTCTGTGCTTCTCCCTCTCTCCCTCTCCACTCATCTATCTGCGCTGTCAGCGGCTGTTATAATCACTGTTGATCTGAGAGGGGCCTGAGAGCGACCGAGGGCTGCTATTATGACTGCGTTAAGAGACACGGAGCCCTTCAGACCACAGCGCGCCCTGGAACGACTGCATGTGCTGAGGGTGAACTGCAATAAACCTGATTACATGTCATTACGTGTGGTGGTGTTGACGTCGATGCCCGATGTTTGGATGGATTGAATTCCTCGGTAACCCCATTTGGACACTTCCCCGTTCATTTAATTACAATTATAATAACGTGATAATACATAGTTTGGTTCCTCTTTTGCCGGAGGTTGACAACTGTTTCAGCGTAGAATGAGAGAGGGGCAAGGAAAGCAGCAGGACAATAGCTGTGTTAATTTCAGCGTTAATCAATTCTATAAACTTAAAATAAATACAGCACAAAATAAAATCTCTTTTTTGTTTCTCATTTGCAAATCTGTGGTCTGGGGTGGAAGCATTTAACCCGGTTTTGCATCTTGCCTTGTCTACAACAAGTCAGAAACCATTAGCATTGTGTTTTTACCCGGGGCTAGCCGTCAGGTGGAGTCTAGTCATGGAATATCTCCTCTCATATGTCTGAGTGAATAAATTGGTCTCAAAATACCTTCAAATATTAAGCAGATTAACTGAGTTTACTAGTTCTTCTTTCATCTTTAATTCAGACACAGAGGGTCCATTCAAAACATCAGACATACAGTATTAATACCTTATCTTTATGTTAATTTGTGGATTATATACGAGTCGATTTTGATATGTACACACAGCAGTAATACTTTCTTCATCTTAGTGAGTAGTAAACATATAAGTAGACAAAATATAGATGCAAATTGATGAAATGGACCCCTTTAAAACATCACAGCTTTTGTCAACGCCATGAAAAAACAGCAGAAAGATTACATAAAAGGCTTGTATTTCAAAATATCATTACGTTCTTCTGTTTCCAGCAGCACAAGACGTAAAGCAATATAGAGGTTTCAGCAACACCAGATTCACTTATTGAATGAAGGGTGTGCTGTCGACACAAACTAAAGTACACCAGAAAAAAGAAAGCGCTGTATCAACAGTGATTAATATTGAGTTGGCCAACAATTAATAAGTCTTTTGTTTTTGCAGCCTCTCCATCTGTTTTGCTATGTTTCAATCAATCCCTAGAATTGACATCTAAATAAATATTGAACTGCTGCACAATTACTTTCCACAATAAAAGTGGTAATTTGGCTGTAAATAGTCTATTGATCTGCTTCCAGTAAGCACATGCTGTAGGTGGGTTATTTATGTGTGCGGAAGAAATAAATGTGGACATGACACAGGGGGAGGATGCCATTTTTACACTTGTATGCCTGGATATTGAGATTTTAAGTAGCAGCCATTACAGACTCGAGTGCACTGATATGGGAAAGAACTCTCTAAGTTTTGCATTGCTCAGTATTCAATGTGACTTATGGTTTATGAAACTATTATTCTGCCACTAAAACTCTAGTGATCCTTAAGTTTGGTGGTGCTTAAGAGTATGTTAGGTATCAGGTATTTTAAACCATGCATTAATAATAATTTCAAATGTAAAAAAAGATTAGGACATACAGTTGGAAACTAGCAGTTAGCTAATACTGACATATTTACAGCAATGCTGATTCATGTGTACTGTTTCTATTTAAATATACTAATACATAAATACATTTGACTCTTTCTTAATTCTTAATTGTAGTTATATGTTAGCCAAGACAAAGTGAATAAAGAATCTTCCCTACAACCAAAACCACTGATTAAAATTAACTGTAATAGTTTTAGATTTTTAAGTTATTTCTCGCAGCTGGAAAGAGAGGAAACCACATATCGAGTCATTACGAACAGAACTTAGTCGTTGATTATAGAAACATTCATAGAGATAACAATCTTCACTCACCTGTGGGGTAGCGCTCTATGACTGACAGGTCATCCACCTGCAGAGTGGCATTACCACCACTCCTGGTAAACTTCACTATATGGTACTTTCCATCATTTACAAACTTAGACGTCTCCTCAATGTTTATGTCGTCTGTGCCCACGTTAAATACAACTGCAATGTTCCCTTTTTCCTGAAAGACACAAAAACACAAGACATATACTTGAGTATTGAAACAATTACTCAAATTTGTTTTATTCTAGATTGAAACAACATGTTGTTGAATGCTAGGACTAAGCATCAACAAACTCAACATGTTCTTTGTAAAAAAACTCAAGTGAGAGAAAGCAACAATAGTTCTAACATACTATTTACATTTCAACTCCAGTCATTCTCCACAATTGTAAAGCGTTTTTGTTTGTCTTTTTCTGTAGACATGTATTCTAATTCAATAGTTAGGAAATCCTTATGGGAAGAATTTACATCCTTTTGTAGAGCGGGCCTACTGCCTGTTTGTCTTACAAACACCATGATTGAATTAAAAGCAGTTTCTCAATAAACTATGGGAATAGGCAGTGCTTTTCTCTCCATTAGCAGCCAGTGCCTATTATAGTGGACTGCCAGCTTTATGAAAAGAACCATATGGCCACTCTGCAGTCTGGACCCCAGCCACAATTCTGCATAATGTTTTTGTCCTGCTGGGAAAGGTGCATTTACAGCAATAGCAGTTATTAATTTGGGACATGCTATTATTATACTATTGAGCATTTGAGTGCCACTATGCTGCATCTGTAAAGTTATAAAAATAGTAGTGTATCTTTGATTGCCTGTGGAACATTCTCGTAGCTCGAAGTGATTTCACAATTAGCTTGAGAATTCATCTTGAGAAACTCCAGCATGTTGTTTGCAGTCTAAAACTTTTTGAATAGCCCAATCACAGTGCAGCATAATGGGGCAAGCTATTGGGAATTACGCAGAACCAGCATGGTTGTAGCAACAGGCATTAACTTCTGACATGTGTGTTGAATTCAGGACCTCACTACATTTTATACTACTGCAAGTTGATCTTCCAAATGGAGCAATATAAACACTTCATCAAGTGACATATTCATAAATTCAGAGGCTCTAAGCAGGGGAGCTCTATGCATCTCAGTGCTTCTCAGGCTGATGCGAAAATTGCACAATCCACCCACAAATCTGTGCAATTGAAACAGCAGGAACCATTTACTGACTGTTTTCCGTAAAAAAGCCCTATTGGGGCACGTCATTGTTCAAACTCTGGGAGGCGGGCTTCCACCTGCCCATTTCCACAAACACATACAAAGTGTTAGATTAACAGTTAACAGTGAGCTAGTTTGAGGCATGCATTCAAAGATACTTTCAACACGTTTCCTCTCCATCAAACTTCAAAAAGTATCTTCAGATTTGAGTGAGAGAAGCACATGACTGGTGTGTGTGAAACTGACTCATTAAGAGCTGTGAAGACTGCATTCATTAGAAAGTCAAAACATGGATCTGAGCTCAACACTTTGGGCTGTTTGCATCCAGGAAATCTGCCGTACAGCCAACAAAAAGTACAATAAAATCAATCAATGGGGATGACCTTCTCCATGACTTTGCTGAGATAACATTCTAACATTGAAGCAGGTAATACATTTAAATTATGGTGACTTATGTCAAAGTGGTTGGGGACAAAAACATATTATCATATTCTATGCCTGATGGTAATACAACCCAGAATTTAGAAAAACTGATGGCCGAAAGACACAATTTTGACATTACTTTTCAAAACAATGGCTAACACAAACATTTAAAGTAGTAGGTCTAAAGCGCTACTACCTGTCATGTCAGAAGAAGGGTGATTAACACTTCTGACTCCTTTTATCAATTTCTACATTTTCTATACCAAGGCCTGTTTTAGATAATCTGCTCTAGTCCCAGGGTCCTGGTGTCTAATCCAGGCCTGGTGCAGTGTCTCTTGGAGCCGCAGAGACGGGAGCATCTGGTGGAGGCTCGACTTACTGTAGCAGCGCTGTGCATGTCATTATCCAGTCAGCAACACGGCCAATACTACTCTGCATCTCCATCTAAGTCTATACACACAAACGCACACAGCCTGCAGTCACACACCAAGCCGTTTTAAAGTGTGGAGGAAGAAGTTCAGTGTGGCACAAGAGCCACCAGCCAAAGTCCAATTAAAACCATTTGTAATGTGTCACAGAACATTACTAAAACGGGGACAATTGTATGCTTTGTAATGCAATTTCATCTGGTTATATAAAACCATGGCTAAAACATATTTTACAGAGAGCTCAGAGGCACAAGAGCCAAGCCAAAACAATTCAAGTAAACATTAGTGCTGCTTTTTTCATAACATTTTTAATAACTTGTGTGCAGATAATTGTTTACCATGTTGGTGCTCATTAATTCAAGCTATTTTAAGCCATTAAAATCCTGAATGAAAACGCATACATACATTTATACAAGGCAGACAATGGATACAATGAAGGATCATTTCACTGGAAAAGTCATGTATGTGGTAATTGCCTGTTGTTAAAACCTAATTTTTTTTTTAGTTTCACCAGTTCTTGTATTAGTTAAAAAAGCTCAGAAAAACCCTTTCAGTTTGTGAAATGGCACAAGCAGACGCCCAGGCTCATGGGAGGCATGTTCTTGAGAAGGATAAGACTGTGGTGTTGTAGTAAAACCTAGTGTAATCTCAGTCATTAGAAGAGATTTGCTCCACTCCTGTGCCACTTCACACACATCCACACACACACACACGCACACAGACACACAGAGAAAACATGAGCCCACGTCACAGCCACACCACTGCGCTCCAGCTATATCACTGCATTCACAATTCACAAGAGGAGCAGCTGGGATGGCAATGCTACACAGATTTTTTTTTCTCCCAAGGACTATCACAAATTGAACATTTTCATCATCTGCTCAAACATGTCTTTCTTAAGGCATTTCTTCAATAGGTATAAAAAAACCAGCAAAATGCAATCCATCTAAAATGCTATACGTTTTATAACCTCCTTGCATTGACTTCTAATGTTCCCTATGGTCTCATTAATACATTTACTGCATTTAGCGCAAACTGCCAACTCCAATCAAGAGAACAGGTCTTCTAAGCGTTACACTAAAGCAGGATGTAGATGAAAGGCTACTAGACAAGGACAAAAAACCTCACCATTAGATTATGACGGCTAGTGTCAGATCAGAGATACGAGACACGCACTGAAAGCACAAACTCCTTTTTGACAAGCTTCATGTTTGTCTCTCACTAATGCTGTTAGACTGTTATTGCAGAGAAGAGCGGAGAGAGATGGTGTTCCCCTTCAAAAGCCAATTTTATTTCCTTCCAAATAATAATTCCTGAAATTCAATCTTGGGGCAGCATTGTGGGCACTTCAAGGCATCTAATCCTGAATTGTAAACGGAATCAAGCTTATGTCAGGGCAGTGATTGATAGCTGCTTACATGAATCAATTCCATTAGAGCCTATAGGGGTCTCTCTATATAGTTTAAGGCGTCTCTGGTGGTGAGTGGTGCTCCCCGCTGGGCAGCTCCTGGGACTAGACTGCATATTGAGCTGTATACACGTCGCATGCTGTCTCGATTAATTGCTCATCAAGAGTTTAATTAACGGATGAAGTTGATCCATTCTGCGCTAATCTTTTCACTTTTATGTATCTCATCCAAGCTGCAGCTGTGGGGCGGAGTAGACGCTGCTCTGTGACGACTGAAAGCATCCCGTCTGCAAGAGTTAGGAAATCACACAATTGTAAGCTAAATCAGTGGAAATAGCATTGATTATGGGGTTGTTAAAAAGGGAATGGGTATATATATGTAAAAAAGAGACAGGGTGCTCTTTGTTTTGTCAATCCCAGAAGGCAGATGCAAAGCTCCTCTCCCTCAAATACCCTTGTTTGTGAATCACACTAGACCCCTGCATGTTAACAAACCCTGTCTAAACAAATATGTGTTTAATGCTTTTTCAGTCAGGAATGCTCCCATGATAACTTCAAGTAAGATAAAGCCCGCTGACACCTTCAGACAGCTGGGCCGCTCTGAATTATGAATCAACACATGAATAAATGATGACTTTTAACGTTACAGTATGTTTCTTTAATATGCTTCAGGGTCAAACACAAAAACAGGAGCGCAGCCAAAAGTGTTCACATATTTGTAATGCTTTAATGGCTGATCTCTCCCGACGCCCACTCAGAGCCGGAGAGACAAAATAGTTATGGATAAAAGGCAATAGTGTTAGCCTTGCTTTAACTTTGATTGATTTAACGCTAACTTTAAAAAGTAAAAGGCTAGAATGTAGACTTGTCTTCAAACAGTGCTTGTTTATTCTCCATGACGCATTCATGTTGACAACCACTGTGCATCCGTCACATTTCATATGTCCCCATACCAGCAGGTGGGGCCCCTCCCTGTGCGCTCCACTTGTCCGTGTCAAAGCCGCACTAAACAGCTGCTCTGTACAAGCTAAATGTCTTAATGCAGCTCGAGCGGGCACACGCCTCTACGCTTCACCTTATCTTTTAATTACCTCTGCCAGTCGGCGCCTTCTTTTTAGCAAAGCCTGGTTTAATGAAATTAAAAGACTAATGGAATAATTATGAAAAAAAGAAAATGGAGTTTCTGCCTTGTCAGTGTGTATTCAGGAACTGGACTGAATATGATCAATTATTGACTATTTCCATGTGTAAAAAGTTCTGCACCTTATTGTACGCTCAATGTACTACCATTAAATATGTCTTTACTTTATTTTAATGACATCCCCATCACCATCCTCACCCAAGGAACAAAAGTTGAAACTTCTAAATATTTTCTTTATTTTTTATTTCTTTTTAAAAAAAATCTAAAACTGGCACTAATATCAAAAACATGAATACAAGTTACGATGCATACTGATCTCATAATTATCTAATTTTAAAATGTCAGTGGTACAGATACTCTTATTTAACGTTGAAAGTTACAGCTGGCAAATCCAACAAAATATTAACTTTCTCTTTATGACATAGTCTTTAGCATATCTTCTGCAATATGATTATTTTTGTTATAATTTCCAAGGAACATGGCCTTGATATGACAGCTTCATAAAGTTACAAAATACAAATAATAAACTTACACATTTCAACCAACAGCACTGACCTTGCTGTTGCTGAATAT